TTTGATGACTAAAATAGAAGAATGAAATAGTTCTATGATTATTGGATACATATGATGAAGGTTATTTTGTAATTGTTAAAGGAAATAAAGGGTAAAATGGTCATTTGATCATTTAAGGAATTATATACACGTGGGAAATGGGAGAAACATCCAGAGTTCTCTTCTCCTTTCTTCTTCTTCATGCGTGGGAGAGCAAGGCAAAGGTGAGAGTTTTATTAGTTGATTATTATTTGAATTTTAAGCTTGGTTTTGATCTTTAGTTGATGGATAAACATAAGGAAAGCTTGGGTTACAGTAAAAATCAAAGAATGGAGGGGTTAAGAGAGATTACAGATTTGGAGTTTTTATATGAAACTTTGGAAAAGAATTCATAAGTAGAATTTGAAGTTAAATTTGACTTGTCAATGGTTAAATTAAGAGATTTGGAGTGATAGAATTTGATTTTGAACATATAGAAAATTTGATATGATTCTTGAATTACATATGGAAGATAGGATTTTGAGGTTTAAGATGAAATAAATGAATATAGATTGGTTTAAGTATGTGTACTAGAGTTAAGAATGAAAAGGGGATGATATATGAAGTGTTGGGCTGAAAATGAAGTGATTTTCGAGCTAAAAATATGATTTCTGGGCAAGGGGAATCGGTACCCATTCAAGGGGAACCGATACCCCTTCAAATGACAGAATTCCAGAATGTCTTGAGGTAATCGATACCCCCATAGTAGGGAACCGATTCCCCCTAAAGTAAAATGTGAATATTGGTTTAATAAGTTCGTTTAAGTTGCTAGTATCCAATTATAAGGTGTAGGTATCTAATGATTGCCTCAAAATGTACATGTATGTAGATTCTACGCATAAAGCAATTCCGGAACGTTTGGCAAGTAAGATCGATCAAGGAAAGATAACAGATCGATATTGACTAGTGAGGCCAGGTGAGTGCGTACTATTAGAATATACGTATTGTGTATGGAAATTTGACTTGCGACAAGTCTGTTTCCAATATGTTGAATATATGATTGTATGATTATGTTTATATTACATGAATATGTTTAGTTGTATTACATGTTAGGTGGTATGAATTTATATGATATGTGTTATATGGCAATGATTTATATATTATAGGAATTAGATGAGTTATATGAACCTGAGATATAAATTATAGGAGCATGAATTATGTAAAATAGCAATTATTTATATGATAACAAGAGAAAGGATATAAATTACATGAGTTAGATATATATATATATATATATATATATATATATAGGAATTGTATAACCAACTTATTAGATTAGATGAAAAGTGAGATAAGTTAAATAACATTGATTTATAGGGCAATATAAGAATAATATATAAATGAGGAGACATTGACAGAAGTGATTATATGAACATGTAAATAAGTTATATGGAGAGGATATATGAGCTGAAATGAACATATAATACATGAGTCATATGGTAAAGATTTATGAATCTATAGGAAAATGTTATGGGAACTATGTGATGATAAGTTATGAGAAAATATTTATATAGGTAACAAGCTATGTGATATACTTGGTGTATGAGAATCATATGAGAATAAGAGATGACAATGAGTTACATGCCAGATGAACACAAGAGAAGTGTTATAAGCTACGTGACAGATGATTATGAAATCATACGAAAAGTGAAATGTACATGTGAATATGTGAAGTGATATGAATATAATGCCCATGTTATATGATACGAGAGCTATAGGTATAGTTGGCATGCCAAGAGTCGAGGGTTTACCTATGTCTTTCGAGACATATGAACAGTTTACCTAGGTTCTTCGGGACCTATGGACAGTTTACCGAGGATCTTTATGACCTCTGGACAGTTTACCGAGGATCTTTATGACCTCTGGATAGTTACCGGGGTCTTTGTGACCTCTGGATAGGTCCTTCGGGACATTTATATGAGCTGTGGTGACAGCATAGTGGTGCACAACCTCAATAGACTCACATATCTACAGTTCTCACTGGTGCACATGGGCTAATAAGAGATAACATGGAATGTAATGTATAAGATATATGTGATGTATATACTTTTGGTGATATGTCATGTGTTGCTTGAATTATAATGATGTTGATAAAGATAATAATATACATGGGCAATGCAATTGGAAGACAAACGAAAAGTGAAAGTAATACAAGAAGGTATATGTGTATGACATGATTATATATATTGTTATCATGCAATAGATACATGCATATTGAAATGTCATGATTCAATGGTATGAATGCACATTCATGAATTTATTGTTATATGTTTAATTATTGCCTCACTAAGTCAACGACTTAGCGTGTGATTGTTTCACACGTAGGTTACGAGAAGAATAAAGAGTAATGCGGAGCAAGACATGTCAGTTCTCCTTACCAAATGTCAGATCAGAAAATGTATGTAATGTTTACAGAGTGTAGTTGGCATGTAGTCTAAAGATATAAATGGTATGAACTCTGATATCTGTTGTAAACGTTTTAAAATAATTTAAATGTTATCAAAGTTTTTAAATTACTCACTATTTTATACGAATAAATGTTTGAAAAGTCAATGTGACACTTCGGACTCGTACCCGGGTCGGATACGGGTTGGGGGTGTTACATTTAATAGTATCAGAGCTAAGGTTTAGCCGATTCTCGGCATAAACCGAAGTCCAAAGTGTCATAAAAGGTGTACATGCCAACATAGATAAGAAAATGTATGTAATGTTTACAGAGTGTAGTTGGCATGTAGTCTAAAGATATAAATGGTATGAACTCTGATATTTGTTGTAAACGTTTTGAAATAATTTAAATGTTATCAAAGTTTTTAAATTACTCACTATTTTATACGAATAAATGTTTGAAAAGTCAATGTGACACTTCGGACTCGTATCTGGGTCGGATACGGGTTGGGGGTGTTACACATCATCGTCTAACTGGTCAATGCGAAAATCGGAATTTGGTGCTGAAAGTTGATTGAGATTTGGATTAGGGAAAGGTTGTGGGTTTTGAGATTTTGTTTGGTATTGGAAATGTGGTGAAACAACATTTGCTTGGTGATGAAATTGTGGTGGAACCATTAAATTTTGAGCACCATAAACTGGGATTGAAAAACTTAGTTGATTACTACCCGCTACAGACCCAACTTCACTACTTCTAGGTTCAACAACATACAATGTAACATCATCTTGCGAAACACTAATGTAAGCAATGAATCGTTCAACATCTTCATTGTCGGTTAACAAATAAACTTTACCTTTTCTCTGATAAGATAGCCTAAATCCACTTAGGGGCTCTAAATTCAATTTATTTGCAACACGTAACATTAGAGTTTCATAAGTTAACTTTTTTAATGACAGTTTTAGTTGAAGATTCATGGGTAAAGACATATATTGTAAAACACCATGAACATTCTCCCATGACCCTCCAAAACACAAATCTATCCAAACATGATCAACATTAGACGATTTCATTATTGTAAATTAATTTGCTAAACAAACGAGTTGCGAAACTAAAACCTGTTGCCAGATGGGAAAGGATGTCGTTGGATATAGGATGTCGTTGGATATAGGAATGGATGTCGCCGGAGAGAGTGATAGATGGAGATGGAATGAGTTGCGATTTAGGGATTTAGGTTATGAGTTGCTGCTGCTGCGTAGTTATATACCCAAAACATTTGTGTTGCGAAACTAAAACCTGTTGCGAATTTGAAATTCAGTGTTGCGATAGTCAGAATCGTGTTGCAATTTACATATTCACATTGCGATAGTCAAAATCGCGTTGCGAATCTGGAAACTGATTTGCGATACTAGAGATCGCGTTGCGATTTAGAGATCGCATTGCGATTTTGTTGGTCATTTTGGCAAATCGAAAAAAAGTTGGTCAAAATCGTATATTATAAAGCATTTTAGGTCACTGAAGTTATTTTCTCTATTAAATATTATTTAGTTCATTATTTAACCAAACAAGAAGCTTGGTTTAGTGGCAAAGGTTGTGTTATTCTATAATCTTTGCCTAGGTTTGATTCGCTTCTTTGTGTTTTCCTTTTTAATAGCTGCTTTTAAACAAACCTTTCCATGTTACAGTAAATGCACTGAGTTTGTTAAAGTAATATGAAAATGATGTAGAATAACTTGAGTTAGCTCAATGATAGTGTATATCTCATAGGTCTAGCACACCTTGTGACCCTAGGGTGGTGTGCAATAAAAACTTTCAGGAACCTTCTAGACTACTTATCCTGAAGTGAAAGTAGCAGAAGGATTGATGATTTGTGTAATGCAGTTTTTATTACCTTAAAACTTTTACATCTTAGTATCAGAATATGAACAATGAAATTTCACACCCTTCCCCTTTTTGGACCCTTGATGGCTGTATTCAGTTGCTTTCATTTCCTGGAAATTGGCATGTTTAATATTAATATTAGCATCCAGACCTAAGTTTGAGTAAAGATAGGTCAGCATATGAATTGACCCTGGGAATCTTTGACAGACTTAAAAGACTGAAGTAAGTCTCTAATAGCGCTAGTAGGTATGAGTGTTCATGCTACATGCATTTTGGTTGAATAGGGATTTTACTTTAGCTGAAATCGGATAGTTAATCTGTAATTTAGTCATGGTAATCCTTCTTAATTCTGTAAGTGGATAAAGGGTGAAATATCTCCACCTTCTTGCTTACGTTGTTCCTGGATATCCGAATGCCTTTATCTATGTATTTTATTTAGCTGTGATCGCAGGACTGCTGTCTTGTTTACATTTTGACTGAGATGTCAGGATTTACATCTATGGTTTTTACTCGAACATGTGATGCAACTCGCCTTTTGTCTTTTATTCTTCGGAATCTTAATATAAGGGACATTCCTAATAGTGGTCAAATGACTCGATTTTTTTCCTTTTGTTTTGTTGATATTCTGATTTATGCTTCTTCTCTACAAATGCGGAGTGCACCTCGCCTATCCACCTCCACTCAAAAAAAATTGTCATCCTCTTTATGTTAATTTTATTAATTATTAATTACTCACTTTGCTGACATATTGTGTTTACAGTCAAATAGGCTAGGAGCTTTGAATAAGTTCAAGTCTGGGTAATGTAAAGTTCTTGTCTGCACTGATGTGGCTAGTAGAGGACTTGACATTCCGTCTGTGGATATGGTTATTAATTATGGTATCCCTATGAACTCTAAGGTTAGACTTCGAATATGTCAGACCATGGAAAAGAATGCATTCTGTTGTTCTACAAATGATCTTAATTCTTAAGGGATAGTGTGCATAAGAATTTTTGGCATTCTTTGCTTTTTTTTTGGGTTTATTTTCATGTGGGTACAGGATTACATCCATCGAGTGGGGAGAACAGCTCGTGCTGGAAGATCTGGTGTTGCTATCTCACTAGTGAATCATTATGAGCTGGAGTGGTATCTGCGGATAGAAAAGCTTATTGGTATGCCACATTTGCTAAACTTGTTTCTAGGACGTTAGTCAATGAGTAGCTTGTTCAGCAAAGTAACATTTTTTTTCTGTATTCCAGGCAAAAAGTCACCAGAGTACCCTGCTCAAGAAGAGGTTGCCTTGCAAATGTTAGAAAGTGTGACTGAAGCCAAAAGACTGTCACAGATGGTAATCCACGTTCCTTTTAGCTTTGTCTATATGTTATTTGAATATATCTGCTGATTGAAAGCACCATCTTTATGTTTCTGTCTTACTTCTGGTTGTTACTGGTTGAACCTTTCGGTTTGAGGACGTAATACCCATTTATTTTAATTTGGGTTTGTGCTTATAGTATACTCAATGTTTGATAGTGTGTCTTATTTTATTCACCCTGTCATTTGCTTGTAACTTTTGTCTCTATTGTATTTTGAACTTGATGTTTATTTGAAATTTCAAATAACTTTGGTAACTCGGATGACATTTTTTTCCAACTGTTAAAATTTGAACACCTCTCCAGAAACTTAAAAGAAATTAGAGGCACAAAAAGAGGAAGGGCGGAAATGATGATGATGAAGAGGAAGATATACAAAGATATTGTTGGGAAATAAGCCGAGTACGAGTAATTTCCCTATAACCAGATTAGTGAGAATGCGAAATAAAAGCGGAAAGATAATACCCGAAATTGATAACGGAGTTCAGCCAATTGTGCTTACGTCTCCGGATTGCTGCAGATCTTTTACTAAGAGAGAAAATTTACAGGTGTTTACAAAACACTCACTACTCACAAGAAAACTCTCTAGTATTGGGAGAAAAAAAATGATTTTTGGGATGGATTTGAAGCTAAATGAGCTAGGGTATTTATAGTTGAAACTTAAGGACTTAATCGTGTAAATACCCTAAATTCTAGTGAATAATTATGATTATCCCATTACAATATTTCAACAAACATCTACCAAACTTTGAAAAACCATTTTTCAAAGAAACATTTACCAAACTTTGAAAACCATTTTTCAAGGTTGGTTGCCAAACTTTGAACTTTTAATTTGGTGCATTGCTTGACTTTCAACAATCTCCCACTTGAAGACTGATTTTAATCTGTCTTCACACCTCGATCAATGCAGCAATATTTCTGGTCTTGTTAATCCAGTATGCCAACTGAAGTTGAACACAACTTCAGTTTGTCCGTGGTCACCGTCTTTGTCAACATGTCTGCCGGATTTTGAGCTCCACTAATCTTTTCAAGTTTCAAAATCACATCTTCCAGAAGAGACCAGAAAAAATGATATCGTAATTGTATGTGCTTCGTCCTGGAATGAAAAGACGGATTCTTTGCTAGATGGATAGCACTTTGACTGTCGCAATACAAGACATTATTTTATTGTTTCTTGCCTAACTCTTCCAAGAAACTTTGGAGCCAAACCATCTCCTTGTTGGCTTCCGTAACAGCGACATATTCTGCTTCAGTTGTGGAGAGAGCAACTATCTTCTGTAGTTAAGAAACCCAACTCACTGCAGTACCTCCTAGAGTACAGACATACCCTGCAGTACCTCCATGAGCCTGCAAGAGATGGAACTGGAGATGGTCCCCATACATCAGTATGAACCAACACTAACTTTTCAGCCTTGGGTGTCTTACCAATCTTTGCAAAGCTGACTTTCTTTTGTTTGCCAAAGATGCAATCGTCACATAGTCCGACATCTACATTCTTTAGATCCGGCAACTTCCCATTTGACAAAAGTGTCTTCATCCCTTTCTCGCTCATATGGCCAAGCCTTTGGTGCCATAGGTTTGATTTTCCATCAGCTTCTGCTACTGCAATGATATTCTCTAAATTTGAGGTTATATAGAGAGTACCAATTTTCTTACCACGAGCAATGACGAGTGCTCCTTTAGTAATCTTCCATTCACTGCCTGAAAAAGTTGTGCTAAATCCTTCACCATCAAGCTGTCCTACAGAAATCAAATTTCTTTTGAGGCCAGGAATATGTCTCACTCCTTTCAGCGGTTCCAGGTGGTCTGGTTTGGCAACTTTAATCGGATGTCTCCTTTTCTGACGATCTTCAAGGTTTCATCATCGACTAGATGAACCTTCCCAAAATCACCACTAACATAGTTCTCCATGATTTCTCGGCATGGGGTGGAGTGGAAAGATGCCCCTGAATCCAAGATCCATGATTCAATCGGACTGTTGACGCTTAGAATCATGGCATCACCTGTCTCCTCTATCACGTTGGCAGAATCCTGTGCGTCGGTATTTTTCTTCGGTGCTCGTCAATCTCTTTTAAAGTGACCATTCTTGCCACAATTATAACAGGTAAAATCTTTCTTTCCCGTTCTGGATTTTCCCCGTCTGGATTTCGATCTGCCATGATTTGAATTTCTTTCTGAAGTTCTCCCTCTGGACTCCGTATGCAAGACTGAGGAGGTTGATGCTTCACCCGATTCTCTCCGTCGAATTTCTTCGCTCAGTACCAGATCCCAAACATCGTCGACTTTCAATTTACTATTTCCCGAAGAGCTGCTAACTGCTGTAACAGTAGCATTCCAACTGTCTGGTAGAGATGATAGGAGAATTAAAGCTCGAACTTCATCATCGAATTCAATTTCCACTGAACTCAACTGGGTTGTGATTGTGTTGGGTTCATTTAGGTGTTGTGCCATCGATGCCCCTTCCGTCATCCGCAAATTAAATAATCGCCTCATCAAGTGCACTTTGTTTGAGGCTGATGGCTTCTCATACATACCAGAGAGAGCCACCATAAGACCCGCCGTGGTCTTTTCCTTTGCTATGTTGAAAGCAACATTGCGGGATAATGTCATTCGGATAACTCCAAGGGCTTGTCTGTCGAGAAGAGTTCAGTCTTCATTCTTCATGCCCTCTGGTTGCTTTCCTAAGAGAGGTTGATATAGATTTTTCTGGTACAGAAAATCTTCAATCTGCATCTTCCAAAAGCCAAAGTCCGCACCATCGAACTTTTTAATTTTCACCTTCCCTTCGTCTGCAGCCATCGCTCCCACTCGAATCTGGTTTCGTTTGGATCGTTTCTGACAATTCTTGCGAACCACCGTATATTAGAACACCTCCGTCGACAAGCTCGTATCGCCGACAAAATTTTTACTATTCACGAAATTCACTATTCATGTGAATAGTAATGAATAGTAACCTCGCAAAAAAATTGACAAAATTCACAACCAAAAGCTCTGATGCCAATTGTTGGGAAATAAACCGAGTACGAGTAATTTCCCTATAACCAGATTAGTGAGAATGCGAAATAAAAGCAGAAAAATAATACCCGAAATTGATAACGGAGTTCAACCAATTGTGCTTACGTCTCCAGATTGCTGCAGATCTTTTACTAAGAGAGAAAATTTACAGGTGTTTACAAAACACTCACTACTCACAAGAAAGCTCTTTAGTATTGGGAGAAAAAATGATTTTTGGGATGGATTTGAAGCTAAATGAGCTAGGGTATTTATAGTTGAAACTTAAGGACTTAATCATGTAAATATCCTAAAGTCTAATGACTAATTATGATTATACAATTACAATATTTCAACAAACATCTACCAAACTTTGAAAAACCATTTTTCAAAGAAACATTTACCAAACTTTGAAAACAATTTTCAAAGAAACATTTACCAAACTTTGAAAACCATTTTTCAAGGTTGGTTGTCAAACTTTGAACTTTTAATTTGGTGCATTGCTTGACTTTTAACAATCTCCCACTTGAAGACTGATTTTAATCTGTCTTCACACCTCGATCAATGCAGTAACATTTCTGGTTTTGTTACTCCAGTATGCCAACTAAAGTTGAACACATCTTCAGTTTGTCCGTGGTCACCGTCTTTGTCAACATGTCTGCCGGATTTTGAGCTCCACTAATCTTTTCAAGTTTCAAAATCCCATCTTCCAGAAGAGACCGGATAAAATGATACCGTAATTGTATGTGCTTCGTCCTGGAATGAAAAGACGGATTCTTTGCAAGATGGATAGCACTTTGACTGTCACAATACAAGATATTGTTTTCTTGTTTCTTGCCTAACTCTTCCAAGAAACTTTGGAGCCAAACCATCTCCTTGCTGGCTTCCGTAACAGCGACATATTCTGATTCAGTTGTGGAGAGAGCAACTATCTTCTGTAGTTGAGAAACCCATCTCACTGCAGTACCTCCTAGAGTATAGACATACCCTGTAGTGCTCCTTCTGTTGTGAACATTTCCGGCTAAGTCAACATCTACATAGCCTGTCAGTATCGTATCTCCACCTTTGAAATAAAGTGCTTTGTTTGTGGTACCCCACAGATATCTGAGGATCCATTTGACTGCTTCCCAATATACCTTTCCTGGATTATTCATGTACCTGCTAACAGCTCCAACTACATGAGAAATATCTCGTCTGGTACATACCATGTCATACATCAGACTTCCAATTGCTGAGGCATACGACACCTTTACCATGTGTGCACGTTCTTCCTCCGTCTTTGGTGACTGTTCTTTGGAGAGTCTAAAATGAACACCTAAAGGTGTACTTACTGGTTTAGCATCTTACATGTTGAACCTGGAGAGTTACTCAGCCTGTGATAACATCAAAGTCCCCGACTTTGTGTCTCTCTTGATCCTCATCCCAAGAATCTGCTTTGCAGCACCCAGATCCTTCATAGCAAACTGCTTCGACAATTTTTTCTTCAAGCGTATAATCTCTTGCATGTCTGAGCCTGCAACGAGCATGTCATCAACGTACAATAATAAAATAATGAAGTTGTTGTCGAACCTCTTGATGTAGCAACAATGATTTGCTTGGCATCTGGTAAAACCACTGCTACTCATGAAACTATCGAACTTCTTGTACCATTGTCTAGGAGCTAGTTTTAAACCATACAAGCTCTTTTTCAACCTGTATACCAGGTTTTTCTTGCATGCCTCTATGAAGCCTTCTGGCTGCCTCATATAGATTTCTTCCTCCAAATCACCATAAAGGAAAGCTGTCTTTACATCTAACTGCTCAAGATGTAAATTCTCTACAGCTACAATTTTCAACACCAGTCTGATTGTGGACAGTTTTATGACTGGAGAGAAAATTTCATTGTAGTCAATACCTTCTTTTTGCTGAAAACCTTTGACAACCAATCTTGCTTTGTAGCGTTTCCTCCCATCGTGATCTTCTTTGATCCTGTAAATCCACTTGTTGTGGAGCGCTTTCTTGCCTGGTGGTAATTTAGCTAATTTCCACGTCTGATTTGACA